ATTTTATTGTTTGTTTTATTTCAAAAGTTACCTGAAATTCATCACTTCAAGGATATTTATTTCATATTTTCCAATCTCTATGGTTTCCTTTTCCTACTGTTGTTTTTTTTCCCTTATCTATGTTTCCTATCTTTCCTGTGTGTGTTCAATAAGGAAGCTACCTCAAAACAGGAAAAAGATGTGTCTGAAAATCTGTGAGCTATCAAAAGTTTTCTTTCATAATTTCCTAGATAGCCTACAATTTTATTTAGTTCTCCCAATTTCAATTTATGAATAAAGAGGCATAAAGTGGATCATATCAAAGTCCATAACTGATTTAACATTGCGTGTTAGTTGCAACATCAGGTTATCTCTAGTAACTTCACTAGTTCTTTAGTAGATGCTTTTTCCTCAAAAGAATTGAATCTCACTTTATGTTGAGCTCTGAAGAAATCTTAGTTGCTTTATCGTTGGGTAAAACCACTTTTCACATTACTTATTTCTGCATTTCTCATGCACATCTAACACAAATTAATACAAATTATTTGTATGAATAGTAGCGAACAAGACTCACATATTTTTTCCTGGTTGATTATTTTATTGATTATAAAATACAAGTAATGCATTGTAGAAAACAGATAATATCTGGAATAATATTTATAAAATAGAAACTGGAAATTGCTGCACTATGATGAGTTAGATAAATTAATTTCTAAGATGTTGCTTCAGTTGTACAATAAATACCAAGTATGATATTGATAAAAAGTTGCAAAATACCAAGTTCTTTTATATGAAAATGGTTTAAATCTTTAAGCTTAATACTTAATACTCTATTTTCCGCTGCATTTATTGTTATTTATGATTGTTAAAAGAGAGAAAAGGGAAAAAAAGGAGAAAGAAAAAAAGATGCTGCTTGGAAAAAGCACACCTTATTTGTTTTGGATTAAGTGTCTGGCTCATTCCTCTAGACGTCAGAAGAGACGTCTAGAGTGATGCTGGAGGGCTAGTAACTCCGAATCCGACCGGACACTTCTAAGAGCCTATATTAGGACTTATTTAGTGGCGATACGAGCGGCAAAATGTTCGCATTTTTCTGCACTTATTGTGTCTGCAGAATCTCGCCCCGCCGCCCTGTTTAGGGTGACCCGTTCCCTACTTAATGTTCGGGAAGCTGGGGAGCCCTTACAGGGTAGAGCAGAGGAATTTGTGCAATTCTCATCAGACAAAATCGCTCGGATTTGGACAGACCTAGACTCCAATTGGGCAGGGCCTTTCAAGATGACTGGGGTAGGTCTTAGCTCAGTTTTATGGGATGAATTTGAGTCTGTGACCGCTGAGGATGTTGACAGAGCGGTGGGAGCAATGAGTGCCTCCACTTGTTTATTGGACCCGTGTCCTTCCTGGTTGGTCTCGGCTGCCAAGGAGGTGACACGAAGCTGGCTCCAGGTGTTGATCAACGTTTCGTTGAGGGAGGGGTCTTTTCCACAATCCCTGAAGGAGGCAGTTGTGAGGCCCCTGCTCAAGAAGCCTACCCTGGACCCGGATGATTTAAATAACTTCCGTCCAGTCTCCAATCTCCCCTTTGTGGGGAAGGTTGTAGAGAGAGTGGTGGTGCTCCAGCTCCGATGGTCTCTGGATGAAGCGGATTATCTAGACCCTTTTCAATCTGGCTTCAGGCCTGGCTTCAGCACAGAAACCGCTTTGGTCGCGCTGATGGATGATCTCTGGCGGGCCCGAGACAGAAGTTATTCCTCTGTCTTGGTGCTACTTGACCTCTCAGTGGCCTTCGATACCATCGATCATGGTATCCTTTTGCGACGATTCGAAGGGGTGGGAGTGGGAGGCACTGTTTTACGGTGGTTCTCCTACTACCTCTCTGGCCGGTCGCAATCGGTATTGGTGGGAGGGCAGAGGTCAACCCCGAGGCCCCTTGAATGTGGCGTGCCACAGGGGTCGGTCCTCTCTCCCCTCCTATTTAACATTTATATGAAGCCGCTGGGTGAGATCATCAGACAGCACGGGGTGAGGTTTCATCAGTATGCTGATGATACCCAGTTATATATCTCCTCCCCGAGCTCTCTCAGTGAAGCGGCCGATGTGATGGGCCGTTGCCTCGAAGCCGTGAGGGTCTGGATGGGGGTTAACAGACTCAGGCTCAATCCTGACAAGACCGAGTGGCTTTGGATGTTGCCTCCCAAGGATCATGTCGACTGTCCAGTGTTGATTCTTGCGAGGGAAAATATACCTCCTTCAGAGTGGTTCGCAACTTGGGTGTCCTCCTTGATCCACAGCTGAATTTGGAACATCAATTGATGGCTGTGGCTGGGAGGACCTTTGCACAAGTTCGCCTGTTACACCAGTTGCGACCCTACCTGGACCGGGAGGCTCTCCTTACAGTCATCACGCCCTTGTCACCTCACGTTTGGACTACTGCAGCGCGCTCTACATGGGGCTACCCTTGAAAAGTATTCGGAGACTACAGTTGGTCCAGAATGCAGCCGCGCGAGTGATAGTGGGTGCTCCTCGATACACCCACGTTACACCTATCCTCCGTGAGCTGCACTGGTTGCCTATTGGTCTCCGGGTCCGATTCAAGGTGTTGGTCATTACCTTTAAAGCCCTATATGGCTCAGGGCCAGGCTATTTGCGAGACCGCCTACTACCTCATAGTTCCCTATGTCTGGTTAGATCCCACAGGCTGGGCCTCCTTCGGGCCCCGTCGGCCAAGCAGTGCCATTTGGCGGGGCCGCGGAGGAGGGCCTTCTCTGTGATGGCGCCCACACTTTGGAATCAGCTCCCCCCGGAGATTAGGACCGCTCCCACCCTGTTGGTCTTCCATAAGCTACTTAAGACTTGGCTTTTCCGGCAGGCCTGGGGTTTATAAAACCTTACCCCTGGATGATTGTTTTTGTATTGTTGTTTGTTATGTTTTATGTGTTTTTTATTGTTAGCTGCCCAGAGTCCTTCGGGAGTGGGGCGGCTTATAAATTTTAATAATGATAATAATGATAATATTGTGGTTTGTAAATTATGTTATATTTGTTAGGGGTGAAGTGTAAGTCTAGCCAACCATTCAGTGATAATCTTAGCAACAGTTCTTACTTTTGGTGCTTTCTACTTTGGAAATAAAGAATCTAGGAAGGAAGGAGGGAGGGAGGGAGGGAGGGAGGGAGGGAGGGAGGGAGGGAGGGAGGGAGGAAGGAAGGAAGGAAGGAAGGAAGGATCCAGGATTGAGCTTCGTCCTGAGGTTGGAGAGTTCATGAATATCTTCTAATACCCCATTTAATGCAGCTAAAAGTTCCTTTGGACATCAGGTTCTCTCAGTGGTTTCCATTCATCTTTGAATGATAGAAATACTGATTCAATATATCTAGAAATTGTTAGCTAGGTTTATTACCCGTGTTCATCATCAGGATCTCACAAATCGGCCACAATAGAATCAGTCACCTGTACTAATGTAATTTATGTATTTATTCATTCTTCCTTTCTTCCAATTTCTAGGCCATCCAACTCCAAAAATATTGCCATTACATATGAATGTGAGATAACATACGAAAGAAAAGTTGAATTGAAATACTCTCTAGGCGTAATAGATTTTTTTATTGTGCATTCATGTTCTAGACAAAATTACTTCTTTTGTGCCAAAATCAATGCTACAATATTTAATAGATAAACGTTATCCCTTAATAACATGTAATTAGACATCAGACATCAAATTTTAAACAATATGTCCAGCAGGTTGCAACATCTGACCAGCTTTTTCTGAGTTTGGAAACTAAGCATTGCTAGATCTGATTAGTGGATGGAAAAGAGCATCAGATGGTACCAGATTAGCCTAGGAATTAAACAAAAAATCCCACATCCTGACACAAGACAGTGGACATGTAGATGTGTCCATAAAATCACCAGGAAATAAGCCTTAATCCAAGGAAACTTCGTATTTATACATGGACCCTATTGATGACTGGAAAAAAGGGAGTGTTTTTCCCAAGGGTCTTCTGTACTAAAGCTGGCATCCTATAAAAAGCAAGCATATATTTTTAATCAGTTGTAAAAAGACATATAATCAGTAAACTAAGATTTCTTTGATCAGGTGATAGCCTTAGTAACCACTACTTTAATTTGCATTTGAATGTCCTTGCCTAGTTCGCATTCTGCACTGGGTCAACTCACTGAGTATAATATATGACTGAAATCAAACACAACTGTAACTAAGCACTGGGACAAAAGAAATTCTTGACAGAAAAGATGCACCTTATAGACGGTTATAGTTGCTCTTGCTAGATAGCATAACGAAGAGTAGGTGTGTTTGTTCATAGATATGTCTTAGAAGTATTATGAAATCTGTTCTGTGTTAGATTTTAGTTATATGGCAAATGTACATTGATATATTGTCTATCAAATGGATTTGACACAAAATCAAACCTCTTGTTGTGTCCCAATGATGGTCCAAAATACGTATTCCTTTCTCTCTTGCTCATAGCTCAAAAAATACATTTTATTTGTATTTATAGCTTAAAATATATTTCCGATTTGTCCTCTGTCTTAACAGCAATCAGCCAGATCATTCAGCACAAGTATCTCAAGAATATCATGCTAAAATGCTTGGTCATTCTTTCTCTGTGTTTTTACTTGAGATACCACTTCCCCTTTCAGCTCAAGGCACCCTGAGTATTCAGTGATTGGGCATGGACGCTTTATAAATTCTCACAGGGTTTGTTTAGTGAAAAATATTGCTGTTTTCAGATGCAGGTTTTAATCCTTATATTTCCTCCCCCCCCCTTTTAAAGTATCCTCCTATCTAGTTGTAAAAAATTACAACTAGAGCTTGGGGGTGGGGAAATAAAGTAAACAGAGGGCAAGAAATAAGCTTTCAACCTTTTTAGAGAAAAAAAAAGTATTAAACTAATAGATGCAATTACATACATTTGTAAACTGATTCATTTATCAGTTTTCCATGGAGAAATAGACTTAATAAACTGTCATAATTATATCCCAGTTTTCTTCACATTTATTTCTAGGCAGAAAATATGTCTTCCTTCTCTACCGGCCAGCTGCATTTTAGAAAGAAACTGAGCAGCTTATCCGTAGAAGAAACAGAAAGATATAATCCTCTTGTGGTGAAGACAGTGGTGGCCAGTTGAAGCTTTTATTCCAGTATGATTTCAATGACTGAGGATACATGTAATCAAATTAAATACCTATATCTGAACTTTTCAGTCTGATTGAATTATTCTTCACATTTAAGTATCAATAACATTGGAATGTAGATTGACCTCTTCCAATGTTTTGACCAATGTGCGGCTCTCCAGCTTTGCTGGCATAGCTCAGTTACAATCCTTATTGATTCTTCTTCTGTTGTTTGCAATATTCCAGTGGGTACTACATCCATTTCTACATCCTTTTGACTTCTGAAACCAGGAGACAGTGAGTTCAAGTCTGACCTTGAGCATTAAGCCAGCTGAGTGATTTGATTCCAGTACTTTTTCTCAGCCTGAGAAAGGAAGCAGTATCAAACTACTTCTGAAAAACCTAGCAAAAGAAAACTGCAGGGATTTTTCCTGGCTCTCTTTGAGAACTGGACACAATTGAACCAAAAAAAAAAAAAAAGTTAATTGACAGTAAATGATATTATGTTTGTAAGCCATATTCATTCTTGAGCAAATGAACTTTGAAAGGACTGTTCTTTCTAATGAACTAAGCTAAAAACTAACGACAGGATGAAAATGCAATAAGAAGCTGTGTATACAAATCCATATATTAACTGCTTGAAATATATTGGAAAAGCAATTCAAGTAGGATTGCAATATCCAGACAGTATAATCTAACAATATAAGATTAATGAACTATAGTAGAAAATATTTGCACAAAGGCCAGATTGTGGCCTGGAATTTATGTTAGTGGTTTTCAAATTGTTCTCTGGAAACCTCTTGGGTACCTCAGAATCTTATCTAGGTTTCTGCATTAAGAAGATTAGAAAGAGCAGATGGGACTGCCTGAAAAGCAGCTTGATTATGTCTGCTCATCTCATCCTACAATATCATGCCCTTAAAGGAACATTTTTAGATAGACCATTGCTGAAACCAAGCAAAATAACGGGTGCACTGCATAAACCGAGTCACATCAATGTCCAATGTTAAAATATACATGCTTATTTTCCTATATTAGAAATAAATTCTTCATTTTCAAAACAAATGGATTTTAGATGCTGTTCTTTTTCAATCCAGATTGACTAAATTATGGGGAATGCATGACAATAATTTCCTATGAGAATTGATGTTTTTAAAAAAGAATTTCTGTGAGCTGATAATTGTTAGAGAAGAGCGTTAAAGTGTTAGTGTTAGAGAAGAGCCAGCAATATTCTGAACATTGAATTGCTGACCCAATCTCTGGAATTTATTTATTTATTTATTAAATTTTTATGCCTCTCATCTCTCTGTTGAAGCCATGGAGAATATAAAATAGAATAGAGCTGGAAGGAAGGAGGTCTTCTAGTCCATCCCCTGCTCAAGCAGGAGAACCTATACCATATCAGACAGGTGATTGTCTAGTCTCTTTTTAAAAATTTCCAGTAATGGAGCGCCCACAATTTCTGGGGACAAGCTATTCCACTGGTTAATTGTCCTCACTGTCAGGAAATTTCTCCTTAATTCCAGATTGCTTTTGATCAGTTTCCAGCTATTGTTTCTTGTCCTTCCCTCTGGTGCTCTGGTGAACAACGTGACCCCCCTCTTCCTTGTGGCAGCCCCTCAGATACTGGAATACCGCTATCATGTCTCCCCTATGTCTTCTTTTCTTTAGATTAGCCAAACCCAAGTCCTGCAGCTGTTCTTCATATGTTTTATTCATCAGGCCTTTGATCATTTTAGTTGCTCTTCTCTGATTTTTTTCCAAACTCTCAACATCTTTTTTGTGATATGGTGACCAAAATTGGCTGCAGTATTCCATGTGTGGTCTTACTAGGGCTTTGTAAAGTAGTACTAGTACTTCGCGTGATCTTGATTCCATGCCTCTGTTTATACAACACAGGATTGTATTAGCTTTTTTGTTTGCTGCTGCACACTGGTGGCTCATAGTCAAGTGATCGTCCACTAGGACTACAAAGTACCTCTCACCATTGTGTAATTAGGTTTTGCAGTTTGAGATATGGAAATATTTGTGTGACACATTTCCTTAAGATATCTCTCTCCAGTGGCTTCTGCTTATCCTGTTAGATCTTGCAAGAAGAGCATGCTTCAGATCCTACTTATTTAGAAATGTCAACTTGTGATACCCAGGAAATGTGTCTCTTCTGTCATAGCTTCTGTCCTCTGGAGAACACCACGTGGGATCAAAGTGACCCCGATCCTGGTAGCTTTCTGGAGAACATTGAAAATCTGGTTGTATTTCCACACATGGGGTTTAGAAAGTTAATGAAACCCATTATATTATATTTAATTTTTGATTTAATATTATATCATTTTAGTGTTGGCTATGGTTTCTTTCTTTCTTTCTTTCTTTCTTTCTTTCTTTCTTTCTTTCTTTCTTCCTTTTTTTCTTTCTTTTGTATACATTTTGATGTGAGTTCAATAGGATTTCCTTCCAAGTAAATAGCATCAAATGGCAGTCTTAGTCTCCACCTCAAATGGCCCTCTGGAGAAATCCAGCTGATTTTCAATCTGAAGTAAAAGTAAATTTTTATTTATTGGATTCCAAAAGATTTTTTTATTTATATATTGCTTTATGGATTAGTGCATTAGAAGTAACATGTTGTTTCAAAAATAATGTACCATAATCTATATAAAGACTTAATTTAATAGACAAGGAATGAAAATATTTAGAAAGCCAAGAAGAAGAAAAATGACTTTTCCTTTTCGTGTTTATTATCTGAATTGTATGCTTTATACTAGACATCTTGGCTCCAATCAGACAAGCTATGTTTGGAGCTTGAATGAAACATTTTAAATATTAGTTATATATCTAAGAAGACTATATTTATGAATGACTGATAAGAAAGCTAATATGTACACGATTACATTATCTGGCTAATTATATTGTCTGGCCTTCAGAATAATAAAATGTTTATTTAGATTATAATTTTGATTCAAGTATGTTTGAGATATTACTGAAAACTAGTCAAGAAAGGAAAAGTTTATCCATAAATCATTAGGAAGTGAATTTGACTTCGTGGCATCCAAGAGATTAAAATTCATTTAAACTAATATCAGTAGAACATACAAAGCAGATGAAAAGAAAATGCTCTTGTAATAAAATAAGCATACGTAAGTCTAAAATGCTGCAAACTGCAGCTTAATAGTTCACATATACTACATGCCAACTCATTAGTTTAAACCTGAATATAAAATCATATTTGTTCTAGTAGCCTAAAGGAGTATAGGCAGTCCTCACTAAGTGACTACGATTGGGACTGGCAATTTTGTTGCTAAGTGCTGCTGTTGCTAAATGGAAAAAAAATCACATGACCACAATGGGTTAAAAACTTTACTTCCCCTTCAGTCATCAAGCGAAGTCCTGAGGTCTAAGCAAAACATCATGTGACCACAAATTATGATTTTACTTCCATTTTCTCTTTTAACTCTGCTTTTCACAAGCCACTTGCAAAGTACCTGAAAGGCAATCGTTGCAGGACATCGCAACATTTGTAAATTCAGGCATTGGTCACAAAGCTTTTTTTTTTTTTTAACATCATCGCAACTTCAAACAAAGAGCCAATTAGTATAGTGGTGAAGGCATCAGATTAGAAATCAGGAGACTGGGAGTTTTAGTTCTGCCTGGATGACCTTGGGCCAGTCACTTTCTCCCAGCCCTAAGAAGGAGGCAATAGCAAACCACTTCTGAAAAATTTTGTCAAGGGACTTATCCAGGCAATCTCTGAGAATTGAACATGAATGAACGGAAGAAAAAAAATCCTTCAAACAGCCACTAACATAGACAACAGTTAAGTTTAGTCTACCTGTAACCCTATGCACACTTATTTGGGATTAAGTCCCACTGAAAACAGTGATGCACACAATTTAGGTAAATTGAAAGAGAATCCTGCACATGCTGTATATGTTAGGTATAATGAGGTAGTAGCATACATGGCATACTGGGCATGCTGGTTCACTGATATGTATAGATGTGCATAGGTGTGTATAATTTAATTTCACAGCCACATCCACCCACAAAATAGTATTGCAAAGGAAAAAAGAAAAGTAAAAGGAGCTGGCTTTTTTTAAAGGCCTGAAATGTATCCCAAAGGGATCTAAAATATGCCAGATAATGGGCAGAATATATTAAGCTGAATCATTAGTACATTTATTCCCTTTACATTAGGGAGTTTGGAGTTGTGTGTGAGGGACGTGGGAAGGACAGTAATTCTTTCCAATTTTTTTCCGTTGGAAATTACCTCCTTCTTCTTGAAGACTTGATGGACAACTTGTGGTTGTGTCACTTTCTTTGCAGCCCCCAAGACTCCTAGAATAGAGCTGCCCCAACTGAAGAATAGAGATTCTGAACACTTTTGGCACATTTTCAGTAAGAAATAAAAGGAATAAGTTTTTTAAAAAAAAATCTTCAGAAAGGCTAAGCACACCTAAGAGAGCCTATTCAAAACAGAAAACCCCAAAGAAAAGGAAACCAGAGATGCTCATTGGCAAGAGCATTTGTGGGAAGGGATGTCAAACAGTCAATATTGTGGTCATGACCACTCCTATGTGCTTGGACTCACCCCTGCAGTTCTTCATTATCAAAAATCAATTTAGAATAAATGCATACAGTTCCTCACCACTAGCAAAAAAAAATGTCTGCTCCTGCATTAGGCTGATGTACATGTCATTCTTGATGTAAACGATTTTGTGGTGTGATTTTTGTCAGTGCTGCAAAGAGAAGGGAAAGGGTAAGCTATTTCTCCCCCCCCCCCCCGCCCCCGGGTTGCCTTGATTGTGTTCATGGCACTTTGTCCCATGAATATTAATTGTTTGATGCATTAACATCAAAAGTACTTATGCTTCCAGTCTTGAATAATTGCTACCACCATTTACTCTGGCTAATGTGAATGATTATTGCAGTATAACAATCTGGTTAAATTTACTTCATATTCTCCCACCCTTGTGCCTCAATTTCTCATTTAGGTTTTAGTATAAAAGTGAGCAATTGCCTTCTTTTTTAAAAAAAAT